GATATGCAAGAACCGCTCATATTTTTCATGGAACCCTTAAAGACTTGATCTTCTCATTAAGATCAAGGAATGAAACAGGAATTAGGAAAGAAAAAAAAACCCTGTGTGGATAAACTCAGCAGCAAGATTTTCAGAAAATCCCATCCTTATTTATAAGACACTGTCAATCACCATAAGAAGAAGAGGCAATTCATCTATTGCTGTGATGAAAATTTCTCCTACATTTTTTTTAACCATAAGTTAATGAGAGTAGAAATTGCATTTGAAAGAAATAATATTTTGTTGAAAATCTCATGGGTATAATGCAGGGGTTTTCATGTGCTTGCTTTACTCTTGAAGCAGCCAATGTGTGTTTGTGTGTATTCCTTCCATTCATTCAACTGACCATCTCATAAGTGGTCTGCACTCTGGAGCCATCCTTGGTGCCTGTGCTTCAAGTAAGACCCATGTGAAAACATCCTAAAGTAACTCCTCCCTTGGGACCTTTTCAGATTAGGAAGCAAAGGCAGCTGGGGAGGCTGCAGATTGCTGGAGAAATGTTTACTGGAAACAGACAGACACAACTCACAATGACAAGGTATGCTCATACCCACACAGAAATTCTCAAGAAATTCTCAAGTGCCCTGAGAATGAGGTAGAAAAAAATAGAAGCCTCTTTTGCAGAAAAAGAAACAAATGTCAAGGAACTGGAGAACAGTATCCAGAACAACACTAAATTCACCACGCCAGGTATTACAGTTTTTCAAAGAAAGCTGTTTCATTCTTTGCAACTTGTACAACATGAAAATGCAGAACACAATGCTTTGGATGAACGGTGAGAGGATGCAAAGTGAGGCTTCATTATGAATTGATACTCAAGTACTTTCATCCTGGCACACCACCATATGGTCTAATAATTTATGACCAAAGCTGATGACTCATCATGTGCAGAAAGCCAATATTGTTTGTGTGATGCTTGTCCTTTTATTTCATTCTTTAAAAGAAAAAGAAAAATCCCCACAATTATTTAATTACAAATCCTGGGACACCATCTAGCAGTCATTCAGTTTTTTTCCAGAGCCTTGGTAATGGAACATACCACATTTCACTGATAGACGATATGTCTATAGCACAGACAGTTCTTTTATCAACACCTCAAAACATGCCCAGGAGCCCCTAAACCTACCAGCTTGATCTTGAAGTGGGACCCCCTTTGTGAAGAGGGCACATTATGAAGCTCTGATTCTAAAAGGGTCAGTTTAGGCCAGGGGTAGGCAATGCTACCTTCCAGATACTATGGATTACAGCTTCTATCACCCTTCACCATGCTGGCTGAGGATAATGGAAGCTGTAGTCTAAAGCTTATTCCTGCATCCTACCAGCAGTAGCAATATGGTCCTTATAAAGGGTTCAGGGAGAAGGCACAACTCAAGAATGCTCTGTTTACTTAAAGTGCTGTAAGAACAACCCAGAGCCAATGGCTGTTATAGGATCGTCTACATGGAAAATGTTAATGGCAAACATGCTTATTTTGGGTTTGTTTGGCTATATCAAATACTCTGTATAGCAAAGTGTCCACTTGACAACTACATACCCACCTACCCCATAGTAATGTGCTTCTCCCATTCAGCCTTTCTGCTATTTTAATATATAGGTAAATATAACAACAACAACTTTATTATTTATACTGGCCCATCTGGCTGGGTTTCCCCAGCCACTCTGGGCAGCTTCCAGCAAAATATGAAAGCATAATAAAACTTCAAACATTAAAAATTTCCCAATACAGGACTGCCTTCAGATGTCTTCTAAAAGTTATGTAGTTCTTTACAAATGTTTTGGTTCCTGGTGCCAGTAGTGCCGTCTTACCAAACTGAGGCACTGTATAGAAGATGAGGTATTTGTTGAGTCAATTCACTTTGATGCTGCAGAACTTATACTACTTGGCACTTCAACAATCCAAGTAGAGACACTTCAACCAACTTATGAGACAGGCAGGAATTCTGTCATTCAAACAGATGGTTGGAACTGCAGGCAGCCAAGAGACCATGTTTGTTCATCAAGTGTGGGTGTTGACAGAATTTTCAAACCTCAAATCCAAATGGCTATCAGGCCTGAGTGTCTCTCCTTAAAGGGGGAGGCACACAGTCAATACACTACTATGATATATTAACCCTTGGAACAGTTTATCTTCCATCCCTTCTGTTGGTAACAATGAAAAAAGAAAACCGAACAATTTAAATTTCCTAGAGTAGTTGGTTTGGGGCTAATAATAAGTAGTAGCCTGAAACCCAAAGGGAGAAATTGGATCTTAAAAATGATCTATTAAAATGCAATCCCATAGTGTCTACTTAGAAGTAAGTCCTATTGAGTTCAATGAGACTAACTCCCAGGTAAGCTGGTATAGAATTCATAGAATCATAGACTTGTAGAGTTGGAAGGGGCTATGAGGATCATCCAGTTCAACACCCTGCAATGCAGAAATATTTCACCCAACATAGGGCCCAAACCTACTGACTGAACTATTGTAAACTGGCTAAGCAATAACAAGGCAGGGGTGGAGAAGGAAGGTGAAAAATGAGCCTAATCCAAAGATCTAGCGACCTTGCTCAAGCAAGGCAGAAGGTGGTGGTGATGGATACACTCTGCCTTTTTGAAATGGTTCCTCTGTTAGCGTTAAACAACAACAACAAAAACCCAATTTCCCCTCCCAATGGTCTCATTAATTAGGGAGGGGCCTTGGCTCAGTGGTCGAGTAGCAGCTTTGCATGTAGGAGCTCTCAAAGTTCTGGGTTCAAGGCATATTCAGGAAAGAGCGTTGCCCGAAACCCTGCTGAGCTGCTGTCATTCAAAGTAGAAAATCCTGAGCTAGATGGAACATCGATCTGATTCAGTATAAGATCCTGTGATCCCAATGGGAGAAAAACTATGGGCTTCCTCTTCTCCCATTGCTTTCCCCCCATGGAAAACCACTTTTTAGTGCTCAATCAGAACAAATGGCCATTTGGGTTCCCCCGAGATTGACATTTGTTCTGATCTATTGCAAACAAATTGGAAAAGAGTGGGGCATGTGGGAAATCACTCAGACCCATGCTTTCTAGGCATGGTACAAGTGAATGAGACCTAAGTACAGTATCAGGACACATCCTCATTTGAAGGGCATTCCAAAATAACAGATCCAATACCTCCCCCAATCCACCCCTGACAGACCCTAGACCACATTCCCTGCCCTTCCTGCATGGCAGGAGGGGGAAGGACAGCCATGGAGGTGAAATTTCCATGTGTGTGTGTTGTGCCTATTAAATGGCAGGAAGAAAACACTGATTTCCCTTCTCTCTCTGTGATGTCCAAATGTTCCTTTCCCTTCACAAATGGGTAGCTTTTTCAGCTTACTGGCTCATTATTCTAGGTCTCTATCAAGATGTACTTGGCAATGACTTTAGATATGGAAGGAGGTGATCTTTATGAAAAGGCACTCCTGGCTTCCATTTCCTGCCTACCAAATTTGCTCAAGAAACCAGCAGATGCTTCCGCATTTCATAAAAAGGAAGAACTTCATGGGATGTTTTCCTTCCCTCCAGGAACTGATCCAAAAGTCTGGCATTTCACTCCACAAGAGCATAACACAAAGTGGGAACTTTCTCTGAAGCACCTCAACTGGAACCGCCATATTGTCTGGGGATCTTCCAAGGCAATTGTCTTTCTCCTCCTCCGGTGAATGTTCCAAGGAGAGGTACACAGGCTGCAATTTTGACATGAAAAAGGAGTATCTTCCACACAGATTATCATCAAGCGTGCATGAGATGCTCATTTGAAATTCTCCTCTAATTGTAAAGGCCCCCTTGAGGAGAACAAATAAGCCCCGCCATGTCTCCTAATCTTGCTGCACTGGTTGTAGAATGCAGTGTTCGCTACTAATGATGACACAAAAGCTGCTGTAAGCTTTCCTTTTGTGTCTCTCCTGCATAAATCAGCTGTTATTCAGTGATTCAGTCCTAACGGGGGAGAATCATTTTTGTGCTTTTCATTCTTTCCTCCCAGAGGGCAACAGATGTAATAACTTATTCCCTGTCTAGCACATTAGGGCTTGAAAAATTAATGCGGCGCTGCTGTGTTCTCTGCTTTTCCGCTATACTTAGAATTTAGGGTGAAAATATATTAAGTAATAAAAAGCTTATTTTAAAATTGTTAATGCACTTGTCTGTTTTAATGCCTCCATGAATTCCCCCCCACCTTTCGTTCTGTGAAACAAGGATTTTAGTAGCTAATCTTCAAGAACTTCCTTTTTTCATTTGCTCCTGGTGCCTGCCGGTTGTTCTGCAAACAGACCAATAATGAAGAGTCAAGAGACAAGATGGGTTGAACTAGGGCCTCAGTTATTACTGCAAATATCTTCCGGAGGTGGGTGAATAAAGAGCGCAGGTAGTTGGTCTTGGTTAACTACCGTATTTTTTGCTCTATAAGACTCACTTTTTCCCTCCTAAAAAGTAAGGGGAAATGTGTGTGCGTCTTATGGAGCGAATGCAGGCTGCGCAGCTATCACAGAAGCCAGAACATCAAGAGGGATTGCTGCTTTCACTGCGCAGCGATCCCTCTTGCTGTTCTGGCTTCTGAGATTCAGAATATTTTTTTTCTTGTTTTCCTCCTCCAAAAACTAGGTGCGTCTTAGGGTCTGGTGCATCTTATAGAGCAAAAAATATGGTAACTTGGGGAAGCCAAAACCCTGCCCGGGTCAAAGAGCGTGATAAGTCCTAACTCCATTAGCTGGACTACACCATTACCTTGAATACTGAAGCCTTCTACCCCTTCTGGGCAAGGTTATCCTCAAGGATGCTAGAAATCAAGTGTGGTGAACCGTTGCCTCTCCTGATGTTGCTAAACTACAATACCCATCAGACCCAGCAAGCTGAGATGATGAAAGGTGTAGCTCAGCAACACCTGTAGGGCCAATGGTTCACCACATCTGCTCTATATCCTAGCTCACATTCCCACACACTGAGTAGCCCTAAAATGTTCAAAAGTGCTTAAGGGTTTATTAATGAGATTGGGTGGTATGATTCTACTTTGAGGCTGTCTTTTAGTGGTTTTGGAATGGAGACTATTTTGGAGTGGGTCCAGGTTTTGGGGATGGGGCCCCCTTTTATGATGTCGTTGAATAGGTGGGTCATGTAGGGCATCAAGGTTTCTTTGAATTTCTTATAGAATTCTGCTGTGAAGCCGTCTGGGCCTGGGGCTTTGTGTGGTTTCAGGTTTTTGAGGACCGCATCTATTTCCTCTGGGGTGATAGGGCTGTCCATGAATTCCTGTTCCTCATCAGTTAGGGTAGGCATGGTCAGTCCTGCTAGAAATGTTCTGATTTCCTTCTCTGGTGGGTTATGGGAGGTGTATAGGTTGGAGTAGAATTCTGCAAATTCTGAGGTTATTTCTTCAGGGGAGAATGTTATGTTGCCGTCTTTTTTGGTGATGCAGTGTATTCTTGTTTTGAGTGCTTTTTTCCTACATCGAATAAGCCCCAAATACCTGCACCTCCCCACCTCAGAAGGAGGATGGGGAATCCCCAACATAGAAGCATGTTACAATGCCAACCAAATACGCCACATAATCCCATATATACTAGAAGATGAGACAAAACAATGGGTACACCTAGAGAGGGACACAATTGAAAACACCTGCACCACAGCATACCCACTCCTCCCAAACAAACTAAAGAAAATTCCCACAACACTTAACAGGTACACACAGACCATGCTCAAAGCATGGAAAACACAAATAGGCAAACTATCCCCAACCCCATCCCCACTAATCCTCTGGCGTACCACCCATTATTCCACCATGCAGCACAAAACCTCAAGATAAAAACCTGGCGAACCAAAGGCTTATATCGCCTAATAGACTTTTATAAAAATAACAAACCCTTGTCAACACAAGAAATACAAGACAAACTAGAGGACACCCAAATGCCCTGGTTAACACAACACCAACTACATGCCCTCTTAAACAACCCAACAGTAAAATCAGCAGCAACTAGGCCCCTGACAACCTTCGAAAACCTCCTCCTAACAACAAAGGGAAACGGTAAAGGGACGGTATCCGCAATATACAAAATACTACTCCAAAATCCCGCAAATCCCTAGACGCAATCAAAAAACAATGGGAGAATAACATAGGCTATGAGATTAACCCCACTCAATGGACCAGAATGTGGTCTAAACCCCCTTTAAATCCATATCAACGAAAAGAAAAGAACTCACACTGAAACTCACCTACAGGTGGTACCTAACACCAAGGAAACTAGCGCTAATACACCCAGGAACCTCACCAAAATGCTGGAGAGGGTGCACCTCCACAGGCACATACCTCCACATGTGGTGGGAGTGTCCCAAAATCCAACTATTCTGGACAACAGCCATACAAGAAATATGTAAAATAACTAAGCAAGTAATAGACATCACCCCAGAATTGGCCCTACTAAACATCTTCCAAGACAACAATGCCCATTTACACCACAAAGAACTCATAACCCACCTGCTCTCAGCAGCCAGAAACACCATAACCAGACACTGGAGAGACCTGTCAGGAGTAAGCATGGACCAATGGTACCAAATAGTATGGGAAACAGCCCTACTAGAAAAATTAACTAATAAACTGAAACTGACACGGGGACAAACAGAAGAAGACGCCTTCACCCCGGTATGGCTCCCCTTTATCACATACACAGCCCAACAGGACAATGACAATAATCCACCAACAGCATACAAATCAATATGGCTAACCTGACCCAAAACACCCACCCACTTCACTCACACACGAAAACAAAGATCACCACAGCCAATCACAAGCAAACAATCACACCCTAGGCCAACCCCAACCTCTCTCACCACCAAAGGAACACAAGTGAACAATACAAGCAACGCTGACACCAAACTCTACATACATTAAACATAATAGAAACACCGCCACCCGACCCCACCCCCATCCATCTTCCCTCTCTCCACCCCCCCTTTCTTTTTTCTTTTCTTTTTTCTTTTCCCCCTAATGCCTCAACAAATGAAACGGATTTGTAAAAATGTTACATAAAAAAAAATACACGAGGCACTACACTTCTGTAAAACAAGAAAATCCTTAATAATTTTTTTTTTTAAAGTGCTTAAGGGTGCTTACATGTTCTCATTCTTCCCACCCAATTAAAATTTCTGCACCTCCCTGTCCATATGCGACCAGTTAAACTATTGAAATACACCAACTCCTAGCGTCTTGATGTCCAGCAGAGGCTGGCTGAAGCCTGGCATTGGCGTAAACTTCCCACTGCCACGCCTCAACATGTGCATCTTGCCCCTGCCCTAGCAACCAGAAAACTGCACTCTCTTGTATCAGAAGAACCACCCCCTTGTTTGTGAACTACAAAAATCCACCACTAAAATCCTGCTCAGATCCCTCCTTCATCAGATGCATGGCACAAGAGATAAGACGTTTTCCACTCAGAATATGGAACATCTCTTGAAGGTTGCCCGCCTGGCTCTATTATAGGATTCTGCAAATTCTTTTTTAAAAAATCCAGTGAGCTTTCATCACCTTTTCTTCTGAAAACATCTGCTGCTGCTGTGCGTTAAGCGTAGGCAGTGATTATTATGCTGATTTTTAAGGTTAATTTTGACAGGTGATTTATTGACTTACTAGTTAAGAAATCTCTGCATTTTTATAATACTATTGTTAGGCAGCCTTCATTATCTGAGGATGGAAAGTGTGAGAAATAAATGAAGAAGCAGCCTTACTGTCAATTGACAATAATCTTCCAAGGGTTTGAGTTAATTTTGCATTGGAAGTGAATTGGTGAGAGTTGATTTTCAAACCTGCATATTCCTGGCTCATAGCCCGTATTCCCATCTACAAGGATGAGACAATATGGTAGAGCTTTTCCAATGATTGTTATGTCCCTAGTGAATGCTGGGCTTTAAGTGTAGAAACAGTGTGTGGGGAAAAATCTTTCCCTAATATGGGATTAAGGGGAAATCGCTATTCCACACGCCCTAATGCTGGGAAGAGATGCTATCCTTTCATGATGGTGGATAGAGGGAAATATATTTGCATTCTGCAGGAAGGATGAAGGTAATAACTTACTCTGCTGCTTCCCATTGATCCCTGTGGTTTTGTTTAGCGATGTGTGGAAATCATGAATTGCAGATTTGCTATCCTACTTGCAACAAGTGGTACATAGCAGCTGCCTGGTTGAGTGTACAAACTCTTGTGATCTGTTCACTAAAGGTATGGACAAATATGGTTTCTAATGATTGTGGCAAAACTAATGAATAAAATACAATTGAGCCAGAGACAAATTGAGAGGCAATTCTAAAAGCTTTGGCAAAGTTTTATTTTTTATATAAATGATGCTAATAATATTCAGACTGTGCTGGCAAGATATGGCAGCATATGAAATGTTTGATGCCTGCCAACTAACACTGGTGATTAATGACAAAACTTTGTATTGTGGACCTCCTGAAAAAAATCTTTAAAATAACAAAAATGAAAAAGTTTTAATTTATGGCAGTAGTATATTGTTTCCCTTGCAGGGTAGCCATTGATAGTTCTCTCTCTCTCTCTCTCTCTCTCTCTCCTTTCTTATTACTTTCTTTTGGTTACAAATATGTTTATGCTCTTATATGTTCATGGATTTTTCTTTTTTCTTTTTTTAAAAGATGGAAACATAAAAAGCAGTAGAAAACAATTACTTGGAACAGGCTGAAATAAATTAAGTTTTTGCATAATTTGACTACTACTGTGATGGGGGGAAACAGCATATCATTAAACATGCAAATTTCAGAACAAACATTAAAAACTGAGAGGTGGTGTTAGCAAAATATGTATGTGAAATTTTATATTCCTCCACTAATGATTTCAGCGACATGAACAAAAATCTAATTAGTGCCGTTTATATCAATCTTTTATTCAAGAGCTCTTTATACTATGGGTCAAGGCTTTATTTGGAACAAGAATGTCTGATGGACCAGGATTCTGGTTTAGACAGATGTACCAATAATCCAAATGCCCAACTATCAAACTGTTTTGAACATGGTACATATTGCCCCAGTGTGTCTGCTTGGAAAAGGCAGGAAATGCTGTTGTGAAACTTTGGATGAAAACAACCAGCTACTTCGACAACTGCTACTGTCCTTAATAGAGACATTTGGAAATTGATGTCATTGCAGATAGTATGAAGGGCCCATTTCATATGCTTAATGGGTGGCACTCCAGTTCCCATTGTGGAGAAACAGGCAGCCATCCTCTGCCATCATGTACATAATATAATAAGAAACCAACAACAAATTATGAATGGCATGGACTCCCACCACCAACGCTTGCTATTTCTCATGGGGCAAATCTGCTCAGGTCTCCACAAGTGCTCACATCGCAGATTATGGATGATCTGTTACCTAAGCAGATCTTCCAGTGCAGGAGTTTCCATGTTTGCAATGTAACTTCTCCTCCTTCCTCTCTTTTTGCGCTCCAGCATCCCAAATCTGCTCTGAAGCACTGGGGGGAAACCCAGAACAGATTTAGGTGTGCAAAGAGAGGATAGGTTCATTTGAACAAGTGGATACCTCCCTACTGATGAGAGGGCATGTGCCTCTACCACAGGAATTTGAAGACTGCCTGATAAGTTCATGAAGTGGACCATATATGATCATCTAGACTGTATGATCATCTAGGCTGAAAAATGACTCCACACTTCTATGGCTCCATTTGTGTCCTACAGAAGAATGGACATTTCAAACAACTTTAAGGGGGTGGGGTAAAGATTCCCACCATAATCAATATGAGGTGGCAAATGGCCGATCAGTCTTTCCTTTAGCTTCAAAGAGCAGCAGAGCTGGAATTAGAAGAAAAAGCGGCACAACATGGTTCTTCACTGAGAATGGCCCAATAGGGATGGTGTTACAGTGGTGCCCCGCAAGACGAATGCCTCGCAAGATGAAAAACTCGCTAGACGAAAGGGTTTTGCGGTTTTTGAGCTGCTTCGCAAGATGAATTTCCCTATGGGCTTGCTTCGCAAGATGAAAACGTCTTGCAAGTTTGTTTCCTTTTTCTTAACACCGTTAATACAGTTGCGACTTGACTTCGAGGAGCAACTCATAGAACGCGGTGTGGTAGCCTTTTTTGAGGTTTTTGGTGATTTTTGAAGCTTTTCCAAAACTTTTCCGACACCGTGCTTCGCAAGACAAAAAATTCGCTAGACAAAAAAACTCGCGGAACGAATTAATTTCGTCTTGCGAGGCACCACTGTACTTCATGACATAGCAACTCTGTTCAAATTAGGGTGACATGAAGAGCACTG